TTTGAGCCATCCCTATATCCCCCTTCATTTTGAAGAAATGATTTTCCACCTGTTTTTTTTTTATGAAAAGCTCCGACAAAACAGTAGAAAGTGTCTAGCAATGCATACGTGGCTCTCGAGAAGTTTCTCCTCACGCAAATACAAATCATAGTCTCGCGGAACCATCCCCTCTAAGGTATACTAGCTGGCTCTGCGCGAACGGAGGCGTAGCTACGTAGCTACCGCGAGATGAGGTTGCACTACGGAACGCACACGCTGCGCATGCACATCGTCAGGAAACGCCCCCTGAACTGCCGATTGCTGAGTTAGCAGCAAATGGCGTCGTTCATTGGAAGGGCTACAGGATCTACAGTAGCGATGTAGTAAGTAAAAGTATGCACACGCACTGTTCAGCTATGAGCTAAATCCATTTCTAATCCACCTCCTGGACTAGGATTAGTTAATCTGGATCGTGATCCTGACCGTACCGTTTACACAGGTAATCCGTTGTATATACAGCAAGTGCCATGCAAACTCTAAATACACCAGTCATTACACCAAGCATATAGACTTGCCTGAAACCAAATTCTATCTCCTCAGGAGCCATAAGGACATCATCGTCAAGTTGCAACACAGCTTCGGTCTCTATCTCCTTGTAGGGCAGAAACTTATTGTTCAAACTGTTACCTTTACCACGGACAACCTGTGGAGAGGAGGGTGTGTGTTAATATCAAATTCCAAACACCTTTATATACTCACTAATAAAACTTTTCAGCAGAGTTCAAACTGTCTGAAAGCCGATGCTATTGCTAGCAACTAACCATCCGTGAACTCCCTTCATAGCAGGACCATGCTGCCCCTTACACCAGCCTAAGATGTTGGAAGTTACGTATCACCACTGCAATTTTTGGTGAGTCAGCAGCTTGTCTTCCGTAGAGACTGTATGGCAAAAAACAAAGCTCTCGCTGAACCAAAGCCAAACAAGTACATAGTTTTCAGGTAGGTCAATCGTAGGCAGAAGATACTGAAAAGCCGACCAACCCCTCTACCCCTGGTTACCCAGCCAGCTACAGGGTCAATGGAAAGGTTAGCTACAGTAGTAGATAGCATGCGGGTGTCGATACATGCCATTCGTTGTGACTTCTTGTATGGCGTGTAATCAGTGGTACGCACGTGCGGTCGATGATGTCGGTCTACTTTACTCGGAGGTCGGTCTGCTTTACTATTAGAGGTCGGTGTACTTCACTAGGAGGTCGGTCTACCTTACTAGAGTGACGGGTGGGCCCCTCCTGCGAGAAAAGATGAGCGTAGAGGTCGAGGACTGATGGCAAGTGTGGTGGCCCGGTGCCCGCGCCAACCACCACTGCTGCTCCTGTTCTTACTCCATATTGGCGGCCCTCCTAGTAAAATGTGGACCGACCTCCTACTAAAGCGGATCGACCTTCAAGTGAAATAGACCGACCTCTTCGTGAAGTTGAGCGACCGCTACTAGTAAAGTAGACCGACCTCTTAATTGGGGTCAGCTATACTGTATATACATTGCGCCCTACCCCCATTGTAGCACTGTGGGCATGATATAAAACAGGGGACCCACTGCATATACATTGTGGTTACTCAAATGCTAAGCCTAACCACAATGACAATGGAAAGAGCAGTGCTTCCAACAATTCCCCACTAAGAGTTCATCCTCTTAGGGTCTTGGGTGTATAGGTATAGGTTAGATCACTGGAACGAGTCACTACGAGGTTTGAATAACCCGAGGGGGAGGGGTGAGAATGACGCAATAATGACCGAGGCAGAGCCGAGGTCACTATTGCGTCATTCTCATCCCGACCCGCGAGGGTTTTCAAACCGAGGAGACGAGTTCAGTGGCTTAGAACCGCGGCACGGAGAGCGCAGTTTCGCTTAGTCTTTTCGATAGTGTGCAAGACCCGTTACCCAGTTTGTTCTGCCTGCCAGAATTTAGGCTCGTTGGCCCATTTGCTCATAGCTTCGAGACTGCAGGACGCGTTCATCGTACTAGCATCGCAGCAACTGGACAGATATATCCTGCGAGCCCCGCCGGAGCAAGACACTGCCACTGGAGCGCTCAGCCCGCGTCACTTGATCTGGACGCGATTTGTTGTTTGTCGCTAATCAGACGTTGAAACAGCTACGTGGCTCTACCGCCCGGGAAACGCCTGACTAGCGACCAACAACAAATCGTCCAAGCGACGCGGGCTGAGCGCTGCGATGCTTGTATGATGGCGGCAGCCTCGAAGCTAGGAGCAAATGGGCTTTCCCACTCCTTGATTATTATGGATTTGACCTTTGTGAAACCTCAGTGATCTAAATTCAGGTTCTCGTTAAAGCGCGGAAGAGCGGTGCAGCACCGCGCTATAGTTCCACTCCGCCGCTCTATTGCAACTGCCCGCCGCTCTATGCGCACGCGCTCGAATAATTGTATTCACAGTTTACGTAAGTATACTACTAGTGGAAATGTTGAACATTGTTGGCGAGCGGGAGCGACCCAACTTGGGATTTGACCGCGATGTTCGGGCTGCATAACGTGCCGTCAGCGCACAGCTATCTTTTCGTGAAGCAAGACAGATCTACCTGTCGCCGTTACATGCGTATTGTATATTGCCAGAACGGTGAGCAGGTGAGCAGAACGGTACTTACCTTACGCTTTCAGCTCGTCAGTCGTGGTCCACCTGGCAACTGGCATGCAGCAGTATGTGCACGAGCAATCCTAGCGTATTATGCAAGTTGCACCTTGGAACCATGAAGATTGGGAAGAGGTATATACAGCTTCGGTCAGTCACCGAAGGTTCGAGCGCATTCCGAATGGAGGGGAGAGTTGAAATGATTTCGGATAAAAAGAAGCGCGTACAAAGACGCGCATGCGCACTTACACGACGTACGAACGTATATATATATACAGAAAATTCCGCTCGAACGAACGACTAGGTTGGCCCGCTCCCGCTCGCCAATAATAGTTTACTTAAGCTGCCCACGTGTTTCACAACAGAACCACCGCGGTCAGAACGATGAAGCGCAGAAACGCTAGTTCCAGCTGTGCTCAAGGAAGTAGCAAGAAGCACAAGACAGGCTACAATCCTGCGTGGAAGAGTGTCGTTCAATTTACCACATTTGCCTCAAATTCCCCCAGATTCAATCTCGGAGAGTCTAAATGCTAAACTTTTCCTGGGGGAGCATGCCCCCAGACCCCCCTAGGTGGCGGATATCACCTATGTGATTTTTCCCTAGCTAGAACACTGTAAATTCTTCACAGTGATCTAACTTGCAACTTAGAGACTTAGTACTTAGATACCTGGCAGACCTAGTACTACGGGTTTTAGACAATTGATTACTACGTTCAACATCAAAGGGAATTATTCATGAGAGGTTCTAACGGGTGATTAGCGATGCAAATCTGGACAGCTACTTACTCACCACAATAGGTATTCCAATATCGGGCCACTTCAGGTCAGCAGATGGGTCATCCTCATTGTTCCAGACAATTACCACTTTGTTTAGGGAAGGAATCCCTTTAAGGTGTGCAAGCCCCTCCATCAGTGCTTCGTTCCTTTTGTAAGTTATTATCACCACAGTAAACTGCTCAGGAGGTACATTCACAAGAAAATTTTTCTTGAAAGTTGACTCTATGGCAGCTCGTCCTTTCGCTGACTGCGACGCACTGTGAGCAATTGCGACCTCGTTCAATCTACTGAAATGCAATCCAGGATTGAAGGGGGATGAAGGGTAGGAAAACAGGGGACCTGGGATATCATTCCAGAAACTCCACGAGTAGGCAGTGAAATTATTGGTGAAGCAAGGAGAGGTAATCTGCTTGTGGTGGGGGGCAGGGAGGTAAAGGAGCTGCTTCCCGACAAAGTGAGGAGCAGGGGGAGGTGGGTGGAGAGTCCGTGACCTCACTATGGCTACAGCAATCTGGACAACCCTCAGTGGAGAGCTGAAGTAGGTGTACCACAAATGTCGGCCCTTCAGTCTGAAGTTCTGAATGTCACCTGAACTAACACTACGCAGGATGTAGAGGATATCAGAGTACCGGCCAGAAGGAACGATGAGTCCTGCCCGACTCCAGTCAATTACTTCGTCAAATGGGAGAACCCCTACTCCAACGACAACTGGTATAGAGCCACACATCAGAGACTCTATCAGTCTAGTATAGATACCGACTCCTGTTCCAGCGTTAGGGCCACCTGGACTTGGGACGAGGGAGAACATAGACTTGGAACAGAGCTCAAGTCGAGATTTCTGGTCTCCACACAACATCCACTGCCCCTCCACTGCCCTCTTTGTCTTCCCGGTGGCTGGCTGTTGGCACTGGAGCTGAATGTCCACTCTTTCTTTACCTTTTAAGAGCTGCTGGAGACTTCTGATGTGTTGTGGAGTGATAGCACCAGAGCCTGGGTGTTGATGTGGAGAGTGTTCTCCGTGGAAGTGGATAAAAGTTTCTCGGGAGACAGGAAGGAGAGGGGATAGCAAATCCATCGAGTCTGCCTCTGCCGTCCTGAGTGGAGGGAGAAGGATGTCAAAGCCTGTACTGAACGGCTTGGCTGGTGAGATGACACTCCGTGCAATGATAGCCTTTCCTGTTGAAACACCTTCCAGGGCTCTGGTCAGTGGAAAGCTCAACCAGAATGTGGTTTTCGCCATATTCCCCCCACTGTGCCAGGGAGTGAATTTGTGTCTCCAGGTGGCCAACGTTTTCTCTTTCACTTTCTCTGTTCCAAAGAATACTGAAAAACACACATGCTTTAGTAGGGTCAGAGGTGTATGAACCTGTCTCCTTCAAGACATCTACTAAAAGTTGAGGAGAAAATGGATTTTCGTTCGAGGAAGACGTAAGCAGATGATCATACACATAGGTGGCGAATGGGTGAGTGAATGGAATTTTCTCTAGGTTGAAACAGGTGTCAAATGTACAGGGGTTCCATGTACTGTTGGAACGGAGATCATCCTTTCCTGAGTGGGAAGGCACCATCAGGCTGCCTTCGAGAGCGATGCTGTTTGTGTCAAGAGCGACTCCTTCCTGAACATCGTGTTCATCCACCTTTCTCTGGTCCTGGTTATTGTCAATCCCAGTCACTTCACACGTGAAGCGACTCCTTGTCGCGTACACAATAAGCGCACTAAGTACAATGGATGCAGGGACACAAGTTACCAGCAGCCTCAAGGGTTTCCCCATAGCGAAGCAGACAATAACTCTGATCACTGCACCACGCACTAGTCTGGCGTAGCCTGCCTATTTCACCACAGATAACTTATAGAATCCACAGACCTTGCGAGTTCGGGTTTTGGCTCGGTAGCTACTGGCCTTGACCAGCAGGAGTGAGGAGGGGTGTAGCCTGCCAGGATGGCTCCCGTGCCAGAGAAAGACTTAAGAGCGCGCGCCGCCAGGGAAATGCGCGCGCCGCCGTGATCACGTCATGTCATGCATCATCGATATCTGGATGGCGCGCGACGTTGGGGGACGTGCCTGAGGCCATTATGCTACTAATTTTCCCGATTATTCTATTCTGCATTTCCCTCCACATTTCTCCGATTATTCTTTCGTCCATCTCCAGTTATTCCGAACACAAAACTCAGAAAACACATAAGGTTTATGATACAGAATCCTTCCCCACTGACACCACCAGCGGATACTTTTCTCCACTCTCTCTGACAGACTGAGAGACTTCGGATCACTCCCACTTTGTCCAGTGCGACATTTCCGTTTGCAGAGAGAAGGATTCGCTTTGTTCCCGCAGAGTTACATTTCTCCGCATATTTTTCCGATTATTCACGCATTAAGTATTCCGGATTCTCTAACGTGCCGATTTTTATGCCGGCATATTAGCCTCAGGCCTAGTGCCGACTTCCGAGCTCAGCCTAAGAGCATACCTACCAACCTGCAGATAAAGCTTTGCTTGAGAGATTTGGATGCTGTGGGTCTAATCAAAAATCCATCACAACAAACGGGGATTTGGGGGTTTTATTGTAGGATAGGCAGTATTTTTGCTTGATTATTAAGGAAAAATCTGGATGATTGGTAGGTATGTAAGAGCATGGCGAATGCAGGGCATTTTTGGCGAGCGAGAGCACTCCACGAGCCGTCCTAACTTATTAAAAGGTTAGTAATAATTGTCTCAATTGCTGCTGAAATAGCACGTCTATCAAGCAACTCTGGCACCCTATTACTATATACACTAATTTGGTACACTTAATCTACGGAGCCATTCTGGCACGCTAATGTACTGTAATCTACGGAGCCAATCTAAGATAATTATTAATTTTTCAAGTGATGTACACAATCAGAATGGCTCATAGATTACAGTAGGCTAGCGTGCCTTAATGGCTCTGTAGTTTGCTGTAGATTAGCGTGCCAGAATGGCTCATAAGATTACAGTACACTAGCGTGCCAGAATGGCTCCGTAGACTACAGTACATTATATAGCGTGCCAGAATGGCTCCGTAGACTAAATGGCTCATAAACATTAGCGTTCCAGAATGACTCAGTAATAGTATTGCACTACATTGGTGTGCCCGCGGTACACTGCATTCTAAATTTCTAGATACCCTGCATGTGCCTGAATAGTTCCATAGACATTAGAGAGCCTACTGTCTGCTGTATTCTACGCGCTACGCTAATTGCGTGACGTAAATATTGCGGGAGCCATCCTGGCACGCTACTAGTGGAAATGTTGAACATTGTTGGCGAGCGGGAGCGACCCAACTTGGGATTTGCCCGTATGGCAAGCGAAGTGTAACAAAACTAAATGGCACGCATCAAAAAACAAACTGACCCCGTATGCCTCAGCCATGTTCTGAGCCAGATTCTGGTTCTGAGCTTATGATACTCTCTCACATGATAGTCACATACGGCGTGATGTTTAGCACGTGACTGACCCACAGACGTACGTATAATGAACGCGTCTCGAACGTACGTTGGAGACACATACGTACGTCTAAAACGTACGTTTCAAACGTACGTTCATACGTTCAAACGTACGTTCGAGACGCGTTCATTATAGGTACGTCTGTGGGTCAGTCACGTGCTAAACATCACGCCGTATGTGACTATCATGTGAGAGAGTATCATAAGCTCAGAACCAGAATCTGGCTCAGAACATGGCTGAGGCATACGGGGTCAGTTTGTTTTTTGATGCAATTCGTCACTTGATTGAAGAAGCTGAGAGACAATATGGTTTAGCTAATCGTAACTACACCGAGTATGTAGTGGAACGGTTTGAGTACACGATAACTGTGTGCTCTGATTTTTGCGATCACCTACGGGGAGTTCCGGGATTAGATGACTATTTTCGCTCTACTGAAGAGTTGATTGCTGCTCTTAAGGACATTTTGAGAAAATGGGAAGACTACGAAAATACCCTTGAAGCTACTTCTGAGATGAGGCCATTAACGGCGCATCACTTATCAGTTGTTAGTGTTGGCCCCGGGAGGCCTCGATTCGAAATCAGCAAAGAGCAGTTACAGTATCTCTCGTCCCTTGGTTTTTCGTGGACTGAAATAGCTTCTTTACTTGGTGTTAGTAGGATGACCATATACAGGTTCGTTGTTGTTTTTACTGTGGGACCTTAACTTATATATCTGTTCTGCCATACAGGCGCCGAGTGGAATATGGATTAACTTCTGATCCCAATGCTGAAGTTAGTGACCAAGAATTATTATCGATCATTAGGTCAATCAGACAGGACACAGTGTACTCCGGAGTGAGCATGATGTGGGGTAGTCTCCGAGCGAGAGGTGTAAAGGTGACAAGGGAACGCGTTCGTCAGGCATTAAGGAGTATCGACCCTATCAGTGTTGCACTAAGGTGGCCTGCTGGTGCAACTAGGCGACGTCCATATTCTGTGGCCGGACCTAACTCACTGTGGCATATAGGTATGTATGTTTTTATACAAGTTGTGTGCTTAGTGGCTAGCTACAGCAGTTTAGTTCACCTCAACTACACGTATTGTAATAAACCTGCCTGTTCACAGATTCTCACCACAAGTTAATTCGCTGGAGAATAGTTACCCATGGTGCACTCGACGAGTACACCCGGCTAATTGTTTACTTACATGCTTCAACTAACAATCAAGCTAGAACTGTCTATGACCTTTTTGCGGCTGCTGTTAGGAGACACCATCTACCCTCGCGTGTCCGTTCAGATCAAGGGACAGAGAACATACTAGTAGCACAATACATGTTGGAGAAGCGTGGGGCTGATAGGCGCAGTATGATTACAGGCTGCAGCGTACATAATCAGAGGATAGAGAGGCTGTGGAGGGATATGCATAGCAGTGTTACCGTCCTATTCTACAAGATGTTCTACTACCTCGAACAGTACAACCTACTCGATCACCTCAATGAACACCATCTCTGGGCCTTACACTATGTTTTTATTCCACGCATCAATCGCTGCCTTCAAGAGTTCACTAATGGGTGGAATAACCACCCCATACGTACGGCGACTCACAAATTCCCCCAGCAATTGTTTACTGCTGGTTGCCTATTGCTCCAGAACTCTCAACTTCCTGCTCTAGACTTCTTCCATTCTGTTGATGAGACCTATGGCATTGACCCCGATGGGCCACTCCCCCTCTCGGAAGGAGGCATATCTGTTCCTCGGAGCTCTCTGAGGTTCTCGGACACAGACTTGCATTTACTGAAGCTGAATATTGACCCATGTGGTCCCTCCGATAATTATGGAATTGATTTATATGAACAGACACTATACTTCATCTCAAGCTTTACCCCACTGTAGCATGAAACAATTTGTGTACACTATACAAATATTTGGTAGTGTGTATACAAAATTGAGTGTTAGTATTCTGAGTTATAGTCAAGTAAAGAATTCATTGTGTGACGATGCTATATAGCGTCCATGCGCCATGCAAAGCTCTCGTTGGTGGAATTGAGGATGAGCATAAATTTAGTGACAAAATCATCGTAGTTAACGTACGATATTGGGAGCTCGAGAACACTGTCACAAGTGTGAGCGATAGGGCGTCTTGCTAACTCAATGCTTATCTTTGGCACAATGCATGAACTTGCTCCTGTAACAAACAGTAAGAATTGGCTCAATTCAGTTACTTTCATGTTCCCTATCATGGTAGTAAGGTAACCAAAAACACGTGACTCATTCTCATTATTTGGACATGGGGATTCCACAAATGATAATACTTTCGTTGGTGTAACAGTCATTGCATAAAACAAGTTGTGTACATCGGACGCACTCTTTTTCTGCCAAAAGGGTCGATGATTGGGTGGGATTCCAGCCTCAATTAGTGCCAATGCAGCGGCAGGCTTGACACAGAACTCTTATCTTGCTACATCTTCAATAAGTTTAGGAAGGTTCAAGTGATTTGGTATCTGTCTACACCCAAATCTAGACAGTATACCCACAAGAGCATCAACCATCGATGAGCTGAACGGAAGAGAAGAAGCAAGAGCCGTCTTAAGCTTGTGGCGCTCGACTTCACTAACATATTCAGAAAATGATTCGATAATAATCGTAGACGGAGTGGTTATGGATGGACCAAGAAGCATCGATATCAAGGATGGCACAGCTATACGAACGG